TTGGTTGTATAGTTCATGCCATGTGTGTTTGGGTTAGTGGTGGTAGAATGTCCTTCGTTATGCCTTAGCTTTGGCCCCCCCTTTTGGCTTGCATGTTTGTAGTGCATTTTGTCCATCACTTGAGGCACTTTTAGCCACTGTTTTTGGTGGTGTTTAAGGCCTCCCATTTCAGTCTAAGTCCCTTCTTGGACATGGTTGTATGTTTGACTTGTTGCCTCTAATTGCATGCGTGCATTGTACCATATTAGCATTACGTGATGAGTTGCATTGTAGCATTGCATGTTAGGAACATTGCATGTTAGGAACATTGCATGCTTGCCATGATATGTTGCATTACATTTGGCATGCTTTGCATTTTAGTGATATGTTGCATTTTCGGGCTATGTTTGCATAACATGCATTGCATTGCTTAGTTTGGGGTGTCAAACCAAGTGTGAGAGGGGAGAAGTGTTCATACTACAAGTGATGTAACGCATCTCAACCCTCGGTCACCGAGGCCCTTGACTTTGGCATGATAGGGTTTTGGTATTCATTTATATGTTGTATGCATTTTCATTGAATTGCAACCTTGGCTACTTAGGCCATCACGCATCAAAATGCATGATTGATGGCCCGAGGGTCGAGGGTCATGCTCCCTTGAGTCCCTTGCATGATAGGGAGTGTGCCCATGCTTACACTTACTTGAAATTCCATGCCATACACTGCCTGCCCTCTGCTACTATCAACTGCAGGTTCTGCAGGAAGTTTTAGCCGGCCGGCCACATACAGTGCCGACCGGCCATCCTTTGGTGGCCGATAGCTTTATCAAAGGCCGATGAGCATTTACTACGGCTGGTGGTCATCCCTCCCAGCCGGTGGTGTTCCACAGTGTGAAAAGAACCTATCTTAAGACTTGTGTAGTTTTCAGGGGAGCTAGGCAGTGTAAACAGAGGCAGCGATGCTATGGCAGGGAGTTTCCGGGCAAGACGAGTCAAGCATGCATCATTCACGCCTTCCGAGGCAGAGCTGCGACAGTCTCTTTAGCTTCACATTTAAATTATTTTTGTGATTAATTTGTTAATTAATTAGAGGGTCTATAATAATTAATTAGCTAGGATTGTTGATCCATTATTCCGACTGTATTATTCTTTTGGTCCCTCCGAGTGAGGCCGTATTGTGTAATAAGTGTGCGTGAGTGTGTGTATGTCTTCCAACCCCACGTCTTTCTTCCCTTTTATTTACCCGCTTATAATGGTAGACTAGGGCATATTTAAAATAGCATACCTTATGCTATGCATGCGGTATCATTATCAGTATTGCATGCACCGGGCTCGGCGCATCATGCTAACTGCATTAGTATTTCAAATCTAACTTGAATACATGCTACTTGTGCATTTTCACATATCATTCATAGACTAGCCGAGCCTACTCTAGTGACATTCCGTATGCGTTGCATTAGACATTTAAACATGGACTTGGATCATGCATTGATTGCTAACGACTTCTTTGTTTTGGCACGGAGTACGATGTAAGTATTTATGTTTTAGCATCCTTGCATGTGTGTGAGTGTTGCCATGATAGCATGATTACCATGAGGCTAGCTGCTTATGTGATATAACTGCTTGAATGCCTGTGGGTGAAGGTTGGATTGTCTGAGTTGGAATAGCTCATTGAAATCCATGTTTTAGCCTACTTGCGAGTAGCAAATTCCAAAACATTTTTCAAAACAAACGGATATGCAATGCTTATTTCAAAATTAGGCGATCTAGTCTATACTTTTGTGCTGTGCGCATAACATAGTAATTCTAGGCTAATAATGGGGTTAAGACACATAAGTTTTAAAAAACGGATATCACGGTTAGTAGAGGCCGATCTTCGGATCGGGCGAGAGGGGGTGCTCATAGCTGACCTTCCCCAATCGTACCCAAGTTCCCGAGCCGAGGCAACTTTGGTGATGACGGACACGTGGCCTTTGGCACCTTCCTAAATTCCCCCAAAAATAAAATATTTAGGTGGCGACTCTGTATCTGGCAAAGCAGTCCATGTTTGGCACTTCTTTTCAAAAATCTGTTTCTCAAAACGATTTGCCGGATTTGGACTCTTTGGTTCAGATTAAGAACCGTGACACAAATTGAGTCCGAACTGTAGTGAGGCCCACGGGCGCGTCTACACAAATCTACTTGTAATTTACCCTTATTTATTTGTAGGTTTATTATACTTTCTATTCCTAAACTATCGTCAAATTATTTATTTAGTCTCTGAACTATCGATTGAATCTGCTCAGTTCTTAAAATATATAAATCAAAACCTATTTAGTTCATAAACTATTGATTGGAATCTATTAAGTCTAAAAAAAAAATTAATTCAAGCATATTTAGTCCCTTAAATGATTACAAAAATAAAATATATGTTGATACGTATTATAAATTAGTAAAAGACCCTACCTAATTAAGATTGGAGGACTTACGTATAGGTCCTAATAGGCAGACTTATTGTCTAGTAGGTCCTATGTAATTAATGACATTTTCATCAAACACTATTAAAAAAGTCACTAATTGTTAATTTTCAGCGATGATTTAGAAATTTTATTACAAAAATGTCACTAATTATAATTTTTACCGACAATTTAAAAAAATCGTCACAAAAAAGTCACGAATTTTCAACTTTTAGTGGCAATTTAAAAAATTTGTCACAGATAAATTTCACTAATTGTAAATTTTAGCGACAATTTATAAAAATTATGATAAAAAGTCACTAAATTTCAATTTTTAACTACATATGCAAAAAATCGTCACAATTTTTTTTTTTTTTAGCAAAGATTTTATTATGACTTATTTTCAATAAAACTTAACCGGAATTAAATCTAAATATTATGATTTATTGATAGTTTACCCATTAAGATTTTATTAAAGAAAAAATCTTAAACTTTTATTTTGTCTTCAGAAAGTATTTTATTTCTTTGAGTGTTTAATTTAGTATTAGAATTTGATTTCTTAATATTGCCAATAAAATTATGAGTAGTAGATATACTGAATTAGTAAAATTAGATAATTTAAATAATAACATTTTGCTACAAATAATAATAAAATAATATATTAGTTAAGTCATAAAAAGAATTGACCGAAAAACTTAAGAACCATCAATTAAAAATTATAAATGAAATTTGAGATATAATATTAGATAAAAACTATTGATTTGTAGCTATGGTAGAAAATAAATAAAAAAAATACTATAGATTTACCTTTACTTGTATCAAGAAAATTCAACATAAGAACTACCCACTTTTTAAAGATGGAATAATAATTTGAATTTTTTTGAAATAAAGTTTATAATAGATATTATCTTTTACTAATTTATATTAGTTATGTACTTAGATTTTATTTTTGTAATTTTTTAAAAATTAAATAAGTTTAAATTAAATATTTTAAATATTTTATAAATTTAATCAATAATTTAAGAATTAAATAAATTTTATAAATTTAATGGATTTAATTAATATTTTAAAGATTAAATAAATAATCCCATCAAATTAGTGAATGTATTAATAATCCAATTAAATTAGTGTGGTATTCACTATCCAATTGGATTAGTAAGATAAATTATCTCTTTATCTATTGTTTGATTTATATTGGATAAAAAAAATATATGAATGTACGATTATAATTATATTTATCTTCTTTTCCAATCTTACCTTCCGTTGATATTTCTTCACAATTTTTACTTTATTAAAATTTCTTCATAAATATCATTTTGAAAAAAATTATAAATAAATAAATAAAAGAAAAATAAAAATACAAAATACGAAGGCCATGTTTAGTTTGTTTTTCATTTTAATTTTTTTAAAATATAACTAATTTGATAAAATAAATATCAAAAAATATTTTTAAATTTTTAAAAATTATTTTTAGCCTTCTAAAATATAAAATTATATAAAAGTAATAAGTGTTTTAATTTTTAGTTAAGGGTAAAAGAGTATTTTTTTTTATTTCCCAACTCAAGAGTAATGTTAGAGATTCTAAAAATTCTACGAAAAGTTTTACCAAAGGTACCCCCACATGATGCTAGAGATCCTAAAAATTTTACCAAAAATATTACCAAATGTCTCACATAGGTGTGTGACCCACATAATGTGAGTCCTATATGAGTCTCACATTCATATGAAACATTTGGTAGAGTTTTTAAAATCTTTTTGATAAAATTTTTAAAGTCTTCAACATTTTTGCATAATTTATACCCTACCCCATTACCAAACAAATTTATTAAATTAGTTATTTATTAAATTAATAATCTTAAAATAAAACTTTATAATGAATACAAAATTATTAAATTTATAGATTAATAATCCCAATTCTATACCCTAACTTGGTCAATCAAACTGTCCTAAAATATAAAGTTTAATAAACTATTTATTTATTTACAGAGAAGTTAACGAGCAGCATCTCGGTCGTTGTTGAAAGTGGGCCCATCTTTTTCTATAAAGTATAAACGATAAATCTACCCACCCCTCCCATCATTTTGTATTCTCTCTCTCCTTCCACTCTGTCAATCGACCGTACCTATCCTTCTCCTCCCCGATTCCGGTTACCGGTCAACCCCCGCTCCACTCTCACACGTGCCTCACCTTCTGTAATACACTCCCTCGCACATGCGAACCACAAAATACACTGTTCTTTAAAAAAAAATAAAAAAATATTAGGTTACTAATATTTTTATCAAATATTTTTAAAAAATGAGTGAAATCTCTTTTTTTCACGATTTTTAAAGGGATTCACACTATTCATATATGTGCAGAGTCGACATCATGAACGATATAAATCACTTTAAAAATTGTAAAAATCTCCAATAAAAAAGTGTATATCATTATTATATAAATATAAATATAAAATTCACACTATATAAATCTCATATAACTTATATATTCATAAAAAATATTTAATAAAAATATTAATAAAATATTTAAAATCCTTATATTACCCATTCATTCCTCTTGTATATGTGTGTGTTTTGTGTGGTGCAACAAATAAAAGCTAGAGAGAGAAACAACAGATGGAGAGAGAGAGAGAGAGAGAGAGACAGAGTTATTAAAGCACAAATTTTGTTGGGGGAGGGGTTGCAGTATGTGAGTGGTTTTGCGCTCTCTCTTTCTCTCTCTAAAAATCTGACTTGAAAGAAGCATTTATTTATTTTTTGTTCTCTGTCTGGGTCTAAGTCTAGAGCTTCCCGTCAAATATCTCTCCTTCTTCTCTGGGTCTATAATATACACATCGCTGATCGCACAATCTTTATCTTCAAACGATGAGGATCAGGAAGCGTTTTCCTTCTTCTTCTCTCTCCTCCTCACAGCCTCTTTCAGATCCCCAACTCAACCGGTCACCTGTGGCGGTGGTGCTACAACACCTTCAAGGAGGTGGTGGCAGACAAGCCCATCCAGATGGAAATCTCATTTGTTATGAGCCTTCCGATCCTCCAAATCAGCCTCTCCCACCGCCTTCCGATCAACACCCGACGATCGGAACTGCAAGGTTTAGATGGGTTTGCTCTGATAGCACCGAGACACGGGAGGTGAAGCAAAAGGTGTGTTAATTGGTTGGTGCAAAGCCTGTATATGTGTGTGTGTGTGTGTGTGTGTGTTGTATTTAATAGAACTGCACTAGCCTTTCAATGTGCCCAAAAGAGGCCTTTATCTATATTCTCTATCCTATGCTCAATTTGCATCCGATAACCAGAATATAAGTATAGATCTTGTATATGTTGTGATTGTGCAGGAGTTGGAAGGTGCAGAGGCTAAAGAAGAGAGCTGGGAAGAGGAAGAGAAGAGTAATGATACCAGGTAAGAATAAAATAGAGAAAAAGTTACTCCCAATGTTGTGCTATTCTTTCATGAATTCTTCTAGTAAAAGGTGAAAAAGAGTGAGAGAAAGAGAGACCATCATATAACTTGATTTAACCCCCACAACCACACACAAAAAATAAAAATAAATAAAATAAATACTGCAAGTGGAAATACTGTTTAGGGTGTTTTTATATCAGCTTTGGTAGCCACCAGACCTTCCTATCCCATCCAATCCAATCTAATCTCTATCTAGTCTCCTTCTTTTTTTTTTTTTTTTTTTTTTTTTTATTTTAATTTTAATTTTTTTTTCTTTTTATCTTGGCTATGTAAAAATGCCCATTGTGTGTGCACATTAGTATTATATGCTGGTCCCCAGCTACAATACATCATGCTTTGTATATGCACTCTCTCTATATGTTTGTTTTTTTTTTTACTTTAATTCTTGTGCATACATGTCATGTGTGGTTGTGGGATCTTCCGGGTCTTTCTTATTTTTAGGAAAGGAAGCATCTTTGGTGCAGAAGTAGGTACTGGGTCAGGGTTACTACCACCAACGCCACCAACACCACCACCAACAACAGCTTCTTCTCATCAAGGTAAATATTATTTTCTATAACAACAATTAAGAAATATCTATATGTTTATAAATGTGTACGTAATTGTATACATCAAGATCATTAGTTAGAGGATTTGTTGTCATTGTTGTTTGGTTGTGCACTTGCACACTGTATACTAGTAGGGAGTTGGTGTGAAGGAGATTATGAAGTGGTTCCACTGAAGAAGAGAAGAGGGACCTTTGAAAGGAGAGGTGATAAAGATGCGATAATAATAATGGAGAAAGGGAGGAAGATGAAGGCAAAAATGAATTCGAAGACGAACAAGAAATGTGTGCAACCAAATGCTGGTGATGATGAACAAGGTCAAGGTCAAGGAATGGGCATTGAAAACAATAATGTCAATAATACTGGTGGAGGTGGAGGTGGAGGTGGTGTGAAGAAGCTGAAAAGAGGGAATATGATAATGGAGGGATCGCGGTGCAGTCGTGTGAATGGGAGGGGATGGAGGTGTTGCCAGCAGACCCTTGTTGGGTATTCTCTTTGTGAACATCATTTGGGTAAAGGAAGGCTTAGAAGCATCACTAGTGTTCGAAGTCGTGCCGTGGCTACCATTGCTACTACTGCTACTGCTACTGCTAGTGCACCAAAGAAAGAGGACTCGTCATTGGTGCAAGAGGAACAACTAGGGCAAAGATTGTTGGATGATGATAATGTTGATGATGAAAAGAAGCCGTTGATGATAACAAAGAAGAGAATGAAGCTTGGTACGGTGAAAGCTAGATCTATAAGCAGCTTGTTGGGCCAAACAAGCAATTCAGTTGTAATTGCTCCTGATAATAACAAAAACACCGGTGTTTTGTGAATATGAAGAAGACAAGTCCGTGTTATTTCATGTACCTAAATGAAAAAGCAACTCGAAGTTTGATGTTTTCTAACTTACACACCTGGATGGACCTGGTGCAATTACTATGTTTTGTTGAGATTCGATTCTAGCCTCTAGGTGATCAACAATTGTGTTTGTGATTCATCAAGTGTTATAATGTCATTTTTAAAATTTTTATTTTTATTTTTATTTTTTAGTATGTTTCCGGATTACTATACTGTGATGTGCTTTTGTTTTTGTATGGGTTTAGAGTTATTCTTGGGAATAGACTATTTTAATTAGTTTCTTAATATATTTTTTCAAAAATGTGTAGAAAATTTGGGAGAATAATTGACTTTTTTTTTTTTCATTTTCTTTTTTTGTGTCCGACTATTTTAACCAATTGTCAAAAGAAGGGTCGATTGGGAACAGACTTTTTTTAGTGATTTTTTTTTTTTTACTAAAATGTGAAATAAAAAAATTAATATATTTGAGATGAATTTTTAATTTTTTATATAAAAAAAATAAATGTGCAAAAGTAGAGTAAATGAAAAATAATGTTTAACTGTTTAGTATTTGTTGACATTTTAATATTTTAAGTGACGTTTTGACTTTTAAATTATAATGTGTAGTTACCAAACAAAGTCTAAGTAGTAGTAATACTACAAACTCAAAAAATATATTCAAAATTTTTAATACGTGATTCAGATTCATACCTCCATCTAATTTCCACTACTCCACATACATTTTAGACAAAAATATGAACTCTTTTTTGTGCTTTCAAATCAACAGACTAAGTAAATAGTGGAGGTTATTATTTTAATAAATATTTTACCATGATTTTTCACTTCCTATATGATTTCTTAGTGGCAAGAGAGAGGATAAGTTTCACCTTTTAAAAAAAAAAATGAAAATGATACCTATAATCTCTTTTTTTTTTTTAACATCTTTTTCTTTTTCAAGACACAAATGAGGAATTTCATGTTTATTTACGAATGTGGATCTTATTATTGTGTTTAGAGTAAGAAAAATAAGTAAAAAATAAGAATATCTATAATATTGTTGTTTCTTAAATAAGATGGGTTCTAGTATCATGAAAATAATCATACAAGATTTTCTACCGTTAAATTACACATGTAAGAAAACACCACAAACTAATTAAGGGATGAAAAATCTTCGTGAAGCATTTCATGTTATTTTTTTCATGATCCCTAGTATTATTCATATATGAATACGTAGAAAGGAGGAGGATCGCTTCAGTCCAAAATCTGGATGGGAGGAGATTGCTTTGGTCCGTGGAGCTGCAGGTCCTATTTTGATGATCTGAATTACTTATTTTGTCAAAACTTCGTATATTTCATCCAAAAAATAAAAAATTAAGTTGATCTGATAATTATAATTTCAATTTATTGCGTTTGTTATCAAAAGAATGTATGACTTATTTTTTAAAACACAACTATCATACATTGTTTGGTGAAAAACATAATAAATTGAACAATTTACATTTATCAGATCGACTTAATTTTATTTATTTATTTATTTTTTGTTGATAAATACACAAAGTGCCTAACAAAATGAACGGTTTGAATTATTGAAACATAGTCTATGATGAGCCCCACTAGCCCAAAAAATGTTCTCCAATCTAAATTTTAGATTGAAGGGGATCTACCTCCTACATAGATATTACGGAAAAAAATGGAAAACGAAATGATCATAACAAAGTGAAGTCATAAGGATTTTAATCTAATTTATTTTAATTTTGATTGTGTCATTTGTTTGAAAATGATAAAATGATATATTGCATGTGTTTTATGAAAATTTAATATAAAACTTAAGTTCTGTATTAACCTACAATATAAAGGTTTTTGAGATCAATTTTTTGTCCTCAAAAGTGAAATTTTCGTTTCAAAAAATATTAAGAAATTAATTTCTGTTGCCACGAGAGTTGTCTTGAAAAGTCCAAAAAATTACCTTAAGAGACAAAATTTTGAAAATATTACTAATAAATGAATTTTTAATGACAATACAATTTTGTCTAAAAATATTTATTTATGGAGACAAATTTTTTGGTCCAAAGGATAGTTTTTCATCACTAAATGTCTAATTTTCTCACAAAAAATAAAACAATATACTTTTAACAATTAAAATATTTCATATCTAAATTTCTCTCTACAACGTTATTTTACTTACTTACTTACTTTTATTTTTTTATTTTTTTTATTTTTATAGTAAACATTAATTTGTTGTAGTGAACATTATTATTGTATATATAAAATGCACGAATTAGGGCATCTTCCAATGGCATTATCCTGGGGAAATTTTCTAAAATATGTACATTATTTTGTTATTTATAGAAAATACTATATATTTAAAAATATTAATTTTTTCACATTATTTGGTAATGCTATAACCATTCAAAATCAATGCATACATGACTTGAAGCATCATTCTTACAAGAACAAGTTAATATTCATGTGCATATTAGGCATCCTTTATTTTTTTAAAATTGTGTGCCAATATATTCCTATTTTTGAAAAATTGACATCCATTTATCAACTTTATAAACATTAAAATAAAAATTATAACACAGTTATATTAAAATAAAAGTTAATACCATACCAAATAAGAAAAAGAAAAATAACAATATTAACAGGCCAAACAAGAAACCCTACACAAACTACAAAATACTTCAAAAAATCAGTTGCGATTCTAAAAAAACCATCAATGTGAACAGATGTGGTTAGAAAAAATAAAAAAAGGAAAAAAAGCCAGACATATCAAAATAAAATCAAACCCCACCGTCACCATCATCCTAGCCGTTGGTGTCCAACTCTGTCGTTGCCTTCTTAAACATCAGTCATCATTGGATTGGCAGATGTACTATTACCTTCCAGCTTGCACTTGGAGAAATTGGCAGAGGTACTACTACCTTCCAACTTGTGTTTGGTAAATTAGCATTTGTTATGGAAAATGTGTATCCTTGGCCTACCGTGCTTAAGGCAGGTAGATCATTGTTTCATTTCTCATTTTCTCTCGATGTATTTGTGTATATCATGCGTGGTAATGGTTATGGTTAGATGAGGTCGAGTTATCTTATATGAATTTGTATAGTAGTCATTGTACATAAGCTACTTTTCTTTTCATAATTAACTGTATATGTACGCACATTGGTGCATCAAACAAGTTGCTGAAAGTGTTTTTTTACCCTTGGGTGGCTAGGGAATGTGGTACACATATGAGTAATGGGTGTATGTGATGAGTTGGGGCTGTAAGGAATGGAAGGTAATCGGGTTTTGTGAACATGTTTTTCGAAAACCAGTTGTTATTGTGTGTTATTTATGAAATGGGATAAGAGAAAGAAAAGTGAACATTTTATGTTGTTGAGTAAATTGGATGATTTTGGGAAAAGTATCTATATAAGTATACTTTGATTATAAGATGTCACATTATAAACTGTCACATTATGTATAGTATAAAATAAAGCATTTATGATCATAACTATCTATACGTTGTTATTGTTTAGAATCATGTTAGGATCCTTACTGGATTTTATATTTATCCCACGTTGCTAATCATTTTTCAAGTGTATGTTGAGAAGTGGCGTAAGATTGGGGATCTTCTTATCTCTTGGCCATGGGCCCTTTTATTTGATTGGTGGAACACTGTTGTTGTAAAAGGGTTGAACCCTTTCTCTTTTATGTAATAGTGTAAGCCTACGGACAATTTAATTAATTGTAATTCATTTTGCATTTCAATATATATATATACGACTGATGGAATCCTTATGTATTTATGGATGTTAGTGGATTTTGTTCTATATTGTATCAATGAAAATGAACTATAATGATGGCTTTGGTAATGCTAAGCGGGTAATAAAAAGTGGGGTGTGACAATTAACACTTGATTAGGACTTGGATTTGGATTTGAGCTTAGAAAGGCACTAGATGATTTAAGGAAAGATTAAGAAACACTAAGCTAAGTTTAGTTGTGGTTTTTCATTGGCACCCTCACAATTGTGGGTTTGTTATAGTTAGTTTTGTAGTGTTTTACTCTTTCTCCCTCTTTGGAGGGCGGAGTTAGATCTGTTGTATTACCTAGGGTATGTCCATTGTAAATGTGTACATTCTTTGTATTTAATTTATGACTAATTTACCAAAAAAAAATAAAAAATACTAAAGCCTCGTTTGGGAAGGCTCTGTTTTAGCCAAAAAGTCAAAAAGTTACTAAATTAGCCAATTAGTCATACCAAAAAGTCAACAATTACGGCTTCTCTCTACTTTTTGCACAGCTTTTCGTAATTAGTCAAAAAGTCATCCCAAACATACAAGTTTTTTTTACCTACCTTTTTAGCCAATTAGCCAAAAAGTTACTAAATTAGCCTGTTCCCAAACGAGGCCTAAGCTAAGTTAGAACACTTGGAATGAATTTAGAAGCTTACTAGTTTAAGTGTTATCAACGCTTTGTTTATGCTTTGTGTAGCACTACAAGAAATCACACTTTTAGCAACCAACTTTTTGGTCGCAAAAAGTTCATATCTGGTCGTTAATAGTTTTTCGCGACCAAAAAAAGTTGGTCGCAATTTAGTTGCCAAAAGCTCGTCACAGAAGGATTTTGGCGACTAGAACCGAAGTTGGTCGCTGAAAGTTATAATTTGCGACCACATATCTTGGTCGCGAAAAGTATTTTAATTTGTCGAAAGTTGGTCATTTTGCAACCAAAAAACTAGTCGCTGAAAGTTAACATTTACGACCACCTATTTTGGTCGCTAAATGTTATTATTTGCAACCACATATTTGGTCACTAAAAGGTTGATCATTTGTGACGACATATTTGGTCACTAAAAGTTCATCATTTGTGATGACATATTTGGTTGCTAAAAGTTGGATCTTTTGCAACCACATATTTGGTCGCTAAGAGGTTGATCATTTGTGACCACATATTTGGTCGCTAAAAGTTTGATCATTTGTGACCACATATTTGGTCACTAATTGGTTGATCATTTGCGACAAAAAACTAGTCGCGGAAAGTCAGTCCATGGTCACCAATAGTTATTTGTAATGATGTCCCCAAGTTAAGAAGTGCCCTTAGTTGAGAAAGAAGCTTCCATCATCTATGTATAAAATGAATTCTGAAAGAGCAGTTGCTTCTCAAAGACCTACTACGACTAAAATTTTATTAGTCGCAAAAGAGCTTTCAATTTCAAAAATTAATTTCCTAAAT